ACATAGCTTATTTTATTCGCACGAGAATATTACTTGTGTAAGGAGCTCGGGAATGATTGCATATTGAAGTTCTGTTAATGCTCGAACGGTAAGATTCGCGAAGCTACGCGATGTGACGCGCTACCGAAATATTCCGAGAATTGTTAAAGTAAATACGTTTTTTAGACTCTTCAGAGCATAACGTAATTTTAAGAAAATGTATTACCTCATTACAAAAAATTCCTAGCCTTCTTCGATGCATAATGCAGATTGTTCCAATCGAAGATGAAATTTAACTCTCAACGAGAACACCGAATGATTCTGGAAATGAAACTCAACAAGTGTCATTCAAGAATCAATTCTCCCCCGGACCTCTTGGAAATCAAAAGTGCTCGTAGTTCTTGCAATCCGTTCTGCGAACATTGACCACGTTTCCGGTGTTGCGGATGCACGGTTCCGTCGCGTACCATTTTTACATCCGTCGTTGTCCCCTGGCCCGTAATTAATGCGAATCGCGTACCGTTCACGGACTTCCTTTGATCCTTTTCGTGGATCGATTTCAATGCAACTACGCGCGGAATGCCAATCAGTCGCGCGACCCGTTTGTACATGGCGTCGCAGTCAGCTGTTCTATGAATTCTCCCGTTTTATCCATCGAAAACTGAACCGCCCGTCACACGAATCGACATCCCGCGTACAACCGTCGCGGACATTAGCGCATCGACGTACACCCACCAGCGCTGCGAACACACGTACACAACGACGAGAAACCGCAGCTCGATAGAAGTATACGTACCGGCTCCGTCGAAGGGGGTGATTGTATAACATGAGCAGCACCCGGTGCACGCCTATAACGTTTTGATTATAGGGCACTCGCATTTGACTCCGTTAAACCTGATGCCATGGGATTTGGCTGGCAACTCGCGCCGACTTCGAACCGAACCAATCATTGCCAGCTTGTGATATCGAAGTCTCGATGCACGCTTAAACCGCTTATACTAACGAATACGTTTCGAGTACGACGCTGCTAAACGCTGAATCACCAGCGAAACGATCGATTCGAGCGTATCGTGCGAATCGAAGCGACTTCGTTTGGGTCCGAACGCCTGATTACCAAGTTTACCTTACCAATTCACCTCAAAAGATTTCGATTCGCGTCACCAAAAGTTGGCGCAGTTTTTAGTACAATGCAACCCCGATCATAGATCTTGCATTATTCGCTGATTAAACGCGCCTCGGACGTTAATTCATTGGCGAGATAAGTTTGATACAAGCCACGACACCGTTTAGCTGTGCGCTTTTCTCGCTTAATCCAGTTCGCAGATGATATACGCCGGTTTCGTGAGCATGCGAGCAATCTCGCACGAGGAATCTTGTTATCCACGGGGCATTTCGAGTTTCTTCCATGCCCGACCGCGATTGTTGGCCTGAGAAACGGGTAAATTAAAATGTGCTTGGAATGGCCTTTTGGGTGACAGTGAGGAACGATGGTCTACGAGATAATGAAACATGCAAATTTAGAAATTTCCGAAACACATACAGAATATGTACAATAGATTCATTCCTATATTTTTGTTAGGTGTTTCTTAAATATTCCCAAAGCATGTATTAAATATATTTCTACCTACGTTTACCACGCATCACATCTTTGTATTATCTTTGCTTCATTTTATTTAATCAGTTCTTATCGTATCTCACATATTTTTACCATAATCTGGTTTGTTTAAGACTCAGCATTGCCTTCCATAATCGAAGAAAGCGACACTTCGATGCCCCGTTTACAATTATACCCGAACATCGAGCGTTATTGTGGTTATTGATCTTCATTGGATTTAATTCAAGCGTGAGTTACCAGGAGGAACGTACAAGCGAGCAGTTAATCAAAGCGACGCCCTCCCCGTGTATTTACACTGCCGTCGATTTCTCCTCAGCCTCCGATATTCGCGGATGTGTACAGTTTTGTATCTCACGGTACGTAGGCACGGTACGTAAATATCCTGCACAGCCTGTCTGCACGCCTCGCGAGCATTTATCGTTTCCTGCCTTGTCTGTGACTCCGTTTGATTGTAACCACTGTCGCGTACAGGTAATCCGGTTACCTGGATTTGTTGTCGCAGAAAAATAAAATACTCGATACGGTAATTTGGCTGACAGATACGATCCGTCTTTCCATGAATGTCGTCGATGTAATTATGGCACAGTATTAGTTTTCAGTAGTATTTAAGAGGAGCTCGTTCAAGGAGCTCCTCGTCGAAGCTCTTCGAATCGAGAACATGAAAAGCACGAGACTGCAAACAATAAGCCGAACTTCGTATTCTCGATACATAACGCAGTCGTGTGCGACTCGAAAGCATTCGTCGACGTCCTCCAAGATATGCATTTATGTGCGATTTCGAGATGGAGATTACTTTGGAGAGGACCAAACTTACTTTTCTTCTTGCTCATAGGCAAGAAACGTTTTCAGAATTTTACATAATAACAAGATTCGATTTCCTAATAATCAGAAGAATGTTATGCTTGGATGTAACTAGTTGGCGAAGGTAACCTGAACCAAAGCTTCTAGGGCACCGATTAAAAATCACCTTGGCTTGAAATTTCAGCCCCGTTAAAATGCCAACACAATTAGTTCTGCGTTTACGGCGTTGTCAATCACAATTTCACGGACGTATTGAGTGCTCGAGCGTGTCGCGGATCGGCTGCGGCATACGCGTCGAAGCGCAATCCCGTATCAGGCGTTCCCCTGATTATATTATTAAAATAGAATACCGCGCACGTGCAACTCGCACGACGAGAGGATTTTCACCGGTGATCCCGCGGGATCCCGGTACTGCGATTTCCCAGTGAGCTGCTTCGCAGCGTCTCCATTCTTACGCGGGGGCGCAGGTAAGAACGATATTAGATTTACCCAGGAAGCAAACCTTTTCACGTAACCCACGACCCTGGAAAAACTCGAGCGAAAAGCGATAAACGACACGTCACGTCGCGTTTCAGGATATCAATCCGATCGTGCACGAGTGCGAGATGCGCCGGGGCGTTCCTCCAAATGGATTATCGGCCAGTCAACGCCCGGTAAAGCAAAAAGCGATGAAATGCAACAGCGGGCATGGTTGCGGCGCAGAACGTTTCCCAAAGAAACGGAAAAGAAGGTAATTGATTTTCGTTGATTGCCACGCGTTACAGGAACAAACGGCTTTCTAATAACTACGACTCCGATTGTATCCCCCGATTTAATGGCAAATGCGAACGATATTGTCAGGGGAATTGTCACTGTGCAAAAGAAGACCAGTGAGTTCAGGGTGTCTGTATAGGCGATTTTCGAGAAGTTTGGTCTGGATTAGGTCGACAGATACAATCGAAGTCGTAGTTATTAGAACTATTAGACTAATATCTTGAATATTAGATTTTAGATTTGATTAGAAACTTAGACTAATATCTTAAATATTAGGTGGTGCATGGAATTTTTGGAGTGAAACCTACTGGAGGGCGTATATAGCCTTCCTCGCTCTCTAAATTGTGTAACGCGTATGAAAAAAAGACTGAGAATCTTCTTTCAAACAGTGGCATGATGTTAAAAAGGTTAAGGATCGTTGCCTTACACGGTTTAATCACTTTCGCTTTGTGCTCGCGAAACGGCGATAATGGGAGCGCGAAAACTAGCAGGCAGACAACCATTAATTTTAATCCGCCGGTGAATCGGTCGGCTCAGTCGCCCTCTCTTTACGGCCTTTATCTCGACAGACTCAAAGAACTCGATGAACAAACGGTTACGAGGCTATGAAAACTTCTACACCACGTTTAGACGTTAAACATAGCAAAGTTTAGAAAGAAATTCTTTTATTTATAGTGTCTTTGTCTTATAGCAGTGTACAATCAAAGTCATCCTCGTTTGTACCGATTTCTGTTTAGAGGACCATTTCTCTAAAACTGTGAAACTTTCGAAGCAACTTTCTTACTAATGAACTTATTCAATGATCGATAGCGGTATCGACGCTTCCAAGTTCAATAATAACACCTGACGTAAAATCCAGTATCACCTGTGGGTCTCAATTAATAGAATTTAACCTGTTCAATGGAACGAATTAATATATCCATCTTGAGTGCTCCACGCGATACCTTATTTCGCCCTTCTCTTGTCCCGATCGCGTACCTTCGCGATATATCATGAATCACGACAGGAACGTATTAGGAAAACGTCGGCCATCAGAAACAATACGAATGCATCCATCATGCGAATCCGTTCGGCGATAAATGGCCGAGGGGTGAATAAGGGGTGAGCGGATTTCCATGTCTTATCTCGGGGAAAGAAAGGGACAGGGTGGAAAGAAAGGGTTGAATGGGCGAGCATGTGGTCAATTCTTGGCTGTCGGGGTAGTTGCGCAGACGACAACCCTGATTGGTCCGTCGCCGCCGGTCGGCTGACGCGGCTTGTGGCTTTCGGCTCGACGAGCTCGCCTCGACTCGCTCAGTCGCACTCGAACCGCGCATCGGTGAGGGTGTTGCGCCGCCCTCTCCCGGCAGTCTTCTCGTACGCGTGTTGCATACTCGCGGAACAGTTGCCACGCGAGTCTTACCACGTTGTTCGCTGTGTTTTTCATTTCTACCTTCTACGTTCGCTGACTGGGAAGGACAGAGAACCTCTACGACTTGTGCTTTCACGGTGGAAACGGTACGAAACTTTCCAATTCTAACGTGCTCCGATAATCACTATTGTGTCATCGTCTACTCGTTGATTGCTTATCTGTATCGCAAGATTCAAAGGTAGGGCGAAAAAGAGTCGAGTCCAGTGTATCACCATCCCTTCACCGCGACTCCGAAAATTCTCTTATCATCGGAAGGATACAATAGCGTATCGACGAGACGTTTAATAAAAACGAGTGCAGACTTGAGCGTAGACTCGCATACGAATTATCAACAACTTTGATATATAAACTGTCAACGCGACACGGTTATTGTATATACTCCATCTTGAAAGCGACGAGTTTCGATCCTTTTTGAAAGACGATTATCCAACACGTGAATTTCGCAATTCCGTTTGCGAACGGTGATACTCCCTTCTATCTTTTTTTCCTTCTCTTTTTTATTTCGTTCTCTCGGACTCTCGACAGTCGTTTAAGAGGATATTGGACGCCATTGAACGTTTGGTTCTGTTCCCAGCCGGCGCGGAGGACACAGTGAATAGTCGTGCGCGCGTGTTTGCCAGTCGACGTACAGGTCGAAACGCAATCCTGCCCGCGGGGTAGTATGGGGGAGTGCGGGAGATAGATCGTCTTCGGGGTAATCTGGCGTTGACGTGACCTAGCCTAACGTAACTTTTGTTTGGGACATCGGTGGCCCACCCACACCATCATCCCCCGCCGGCCATCCCTCGTTCCCAAAGCTGGTGCTCGTGTGTGTGTACACTTTTCTGGAGTGTGTGCGACTGCTTCGACGGGGAACAACTTCGCGCGTCTACGCGGTAAGTGATACACTATATTTATCTATCGGGTGGCATCCTGTCGCGCCGATTTATGAGTAAGTGCTCGCGCGACCTGCGCCTCGATATCGTTCGGAGCGTACTCTCGATATTTATCGAACGTGGTCCTACATATTAACGACTAAACGCAAATCGATTCCACCCTTTTTTCACACTTTTAACAGAACTTCGCGACGAAGGATTTCGCGTTGCTGGGGAGAATTGGAACTTGTATGTTGCGCGCAATTAGACGCCATTTTGATAAGCTGGGCTACTTTGATATTTCCATTGTGCAGCGTTCGGTTAATAGATGATTTTCATGGATCCTCGTGCAATTGAGGCGATGCATCAGAATTTTTGTTTTGTTTATCGGTACTTAGCGTACCTTGCGTACGGATAGTAAGAAGAACGTTTCGTTTTCGTTTGCTAAAATGTAATTATATTACGGATTTACGCTGTAATGGATCACAACACAACGTTTCAATGTAGTTCGCGATTCTACTCACAAATTGTTGATCGAATTGAATATAGAAAAGACGTTCGTTTTCGGAACAATATTTTCCAGGCTTTTAATATCTACGTCGGTATTCACGCGTATAAATAATTTTTGCTATTACCATATTGGAAAATGTGCTTTCAATGCGATAAAATTCCTTCTGTTAATACTTTTGCACTGTGTACCAATCTAGTTGAATCAATTTTGTATCATCTTAGATCATAAATTATATATCCTTGAGTAGTGTTCATCTCAATTCGATCAAATCAAATATCGTAAAACCGATTCAAATATCAGCAGAAAGGAAACCACTTCACTGCACTGTACATAATTGCAAGAGTAAAATTAGAACCAGAATAATTAATATAACATGGAAATATTAATAACCTTCAAAATTAATTTCCTCCTCAAAGTTACGCTGACATTTTACCGAACCACGATATAGGAAACAGCAACCTATACTCGACGTTTATGAATTACGGATAGCTTCCAACCCTGCTTGTATTTTCAGCAATAAGTACGTCGTCTAAAAACAACTTTACCTTTGTCCCATTTCACGAACGCGGCATATGTCCAGCTTCCGGTCGCTGACAAAATTTATTAATTCAGCTGCTCTCAATTTCCCCCGTTCGCAAACGAAATAAAAAATAAAATTAAAACGTCCGGTTGGAAACTCGAGACGAGTCCGTCGACGAATTTTTCATTTCTCCTAGAAATTCATAACTCTACTTCCGTCCATGGGTGCACACGGCTTCGTTAAGCCAATCGTGTCACCTCCAGACGTTTCTGTCCAAAGAGTGCAAAGTCACCGCAGGAATAATATTCGCTTTGGCGAGTCCAAAGCTTTACCAAACCGCGAGTAGCTGCGGCATAGCCTGGTGGCACATGGTGCTGAAAATAGGCGGACGCAGCGCGTTGCGTCTTTCCACGGGCCCGTTTGGAACGGCTGGTTCCAGTATCTCGAACTGTGGCCTGGAGAAAAAACAAAAAGAGAGCAGGGGTGAAAGCGGGCGCTAATTGGTTAATGCCCGTCATTACGGGGCTGCGGTGCCGCTTGCTAAAGAGAATTAAAAATAGCCAGCATCCGCGCGAGGCGGTGGGTGTTCACGGGCCAAAAGGACACTCTTGATTCTTTTATTACGCCTTTATTCTTAGCTTTCGTTTCGCGTCCGTTCATTGAGAATGCGAAATAATTTCGAATGTTGCGGGGGAGGTCGCGTTTCCGTGCTAAATCTACCTATTTGATTTTCGCATGAGGAGACTTCCGCGTAATCTTACCTCGCGAGTGCTCTCGGTTTGGATTCAATTGGAGCAACGTTATTACTTCTGACAATTAAGGTTGATTATTTCATTGAGTTATTAACTAAATAAAATAATACGCGGTATTGTTGGTCTTCTATATTTCGCGTGGAACAACGTTGGACGTCACACGATTGCCACTAGGTTCCCCACAGCAAATAAATTTGGTATCAGTCTCGCGAATCCTGACATATTTGTCCAATGTAATGTGTAACGTTGTTCCAGCCATCCATTCATTTCTCCATGTCGTCGGTATTGTTATATACTACCCCATTTATTAAAAGAGCCCCTTCATCTTGTTAATGTACATGTTAGAAGTAACCTATTGTCACTACTGACAATTTTGTATCCACTTATCTTTCTTAAAATTCTGTTAATAAAAGTATATGATTCTATTCGCGTTGATAAAGTTTTAATAAAGAATGATTGGTAATTCTTCAACCAGACATTGAAGATACCTTACTTGTTTATTAACACAAACTTTTCGTTACTCTCTTAAACGTAAATACAGTAAATTATTACAAGGGTTTCGCGTCTTTCGTCCCTTTCTCTCGTTCCCCTTCGTTTTCCCTTCGTTTGTTGTCTGGTCACGCGCATTCCTGGTACTCGTCCTGACGAGCACGCAGAATCGTCTGTGCTTGTTGACCGAACAACAACGCGAAGGTCTTAAAAGCATTTCCCAAGAACTTTCTTATCGCGGCTTAGCGCGACCTCGCGGCACGTGATCCAGTGATTAGAGGCATTTCGTGTTCCGTTCGGTGATCGAACACGATTTCTTTCGTTGTGCAAACGAGTACAAGTGGAAAAAAAACACTCCTCGCTCTTTCACTTTCTCAGCTGTTGAATCCGACGTAGAGAAAGTACAGTAAATCGTTGATAAGAGTCGCGAGAATTTGTTGAGTAATTGTCGCGTTGTTATCCTCGCCACTTGTTCGTCACGCGACGAACGATGTCTCGAGTTATTTATGAGAAATTTTGTACTCTTACGATGAACGAGTGCGATCGAATTTCACATCCTTCGATCGATAAGTGTCGCGGTGTTAGGACCACGTTGCGACACTTATTTATCGACTATTCAGTGTATTACCACGAATCCAAATCATAGAAAAATTGATTATAATTTTTCTCTTTACTTTATTTATTTATAGACATCTTTGCAACGTTCTCAGCTTTCTCACTCTCGAAGCTGACCTCGCGGATTGAATTCGTATAGAAATATTCGCCGGAAATTATGCTGTTACCGTACTAGCTAGAAACGAGTTTGTTTGATTCCATGACTGACACGGACGCATTGTTTAATTTCATTTCGGAACGTAATCCACGTCGCGCTGCTTTAATTAAATCAAGCGTTTTATTGCTGTCTGCGTGAATTCGGCTGTTAAATAACGTCGATAACGTTTCGCGCATTTCAGAAATACATGTGTAGTATAAACGATTGTTGGGTCTGCTCGAGAGGGAAATTAGTAGGTTGGAAAAAAACAGTCGGTATGTCACATATTTAACTCGGAGGAATGAAGTAGACTTATTACTCGTTTGCAAACGTTCCATTTATCGTTGTGTTGGAAGAATTTATATGAAATTTGGTGAATTAATTCTCAATAGGAATTTATTTGAACCACAACACTTCGATTCTTCATTATTCCATCGTCAGAAACATATTTTATGATTAAGAACTTTCAAGTCAAAGTTAAAGGAAACTAAACTAACTAAGTTTTCATTTATTTTTTCATGATACTTTTTCTCTCGTCTTGGTTACTCCGTTACACATCCAGGTTATTCAGAACATGTTGCATTTCGTGTACTTCATAGATCTTGGAAATTTTGAAAACCACAGCACACTTTCGTTTCCAAACTTGCCTGTGGTACGAAGCCGAAGGAAGTCTGAAACTCGAGATGCGTTTTCGAGAGGAGAGCTTGGGAAACGTCGGTGAAAGTTTTCCTCGCCCTGCGAAGAATGATTTTATCGCCATGATCTGCGTACACGTAAAAATGCGCGTATAAATGTACAGTCCTCCGGGATTCGTAATAGCGATTCGATTCTCGGGCAAGAAAGTATGAGAAATTGAAAGATTCCAGATAGCACGGGCCAGAGCTTGCCGGTGACGTGCAGGTCCGCGTAGTCACGTGAGCTCGAGTGACTTACACCCTCGTCCTTACTACACGGGAATACACTTACGCGCCACGGCATTCATTTTCTGCTATCGTGAGTTGTACCTCCACGGCGAGCGGACGACGGGATTGAAAAATTCCAGATAAAAGTGTTACATCGCATTTTCCACGCTCCGCGAACATTTCTGAACGACTCGTGCGGACAGGATGATCCTTTCCTCGAGGGTAATTAACAGCGATCGAGAGATTGACATCGATGAATTTTATTCAATCTTAACATGTCAAGTGTCCACATTTCTGTTTTCAATTCGTCCTAATTTTGCTATCCCATGCACGTTTGATATGCATTTCGTAAGAAAAAATTCTCAGTTATTACCAAATAGTATTTTTGCGACTGCGTGAAGGTGTTTCGCAACAACGTGAAGCTGCTTCTTCGTCCGAGCGGAAGCGAGGTTCCGATGTTGCGGTTGCCATTAAAGAACCGGCAATTATTTGAATTGGGAGAACAGTGACAAACCTTGTACAGTTCGGACGTTCCGAAATCTTTGTGTTCTAGTTAATCGTTAAATAAATGTGTTGTTTCTCACACATTTACAATGGTCACTCAAAAATATATCTATAAAAGGTACAGCTTATACTTGCAATTGATGCATTTATTGCACTTCCAACTGCAAGTAGCGTTCTCCTTCGTTATCCCATGCCCCTGTTTTGCCCTCCGAAGAATACGAGAGCTCGGATTAATATTATTTGTGCAACTTTAACCGGCAAAAGTTTGATATTTCAAGATTGCCCCTCTCTGATTCAATTATGTCGAGTAACGTGAAACTCGAACTTTCACGACTCGTAACTTTGAAATTGTTGAAGTTAGGTGGCCAGGAGGAAGTTATCGTGCACAGCGTAAGAATTGTAATATGAAAAATAATGTTCAATTGGCAGAGACGTCGAACGCAATGCTTCGAAGGAAAATTCGCCGCGAGTGTCGATAGTTTTCGTGTTACAGCGAGTCATGGCGAACGTTGCGAGCAGCTTTCCTTCGTTTTCGTGGCGCAAATTTGTTTTTCCGCGTGTTCGTGCTTAACCACGGCAACTGATACACGGG